TTTCCTCATCCTGCTTCTATTAGATTTAAAAGGATCTCTAATCTGGAGTTGTCTTTACAACTAAGTTTAGCTGGTGGATTATATATGTGCAGTCTAAGGAATTAATGTGAAACTCCTTTGGCTGTCTTCGAGCTCGCTAGTTGTAGAGTTCCGATATATTTCTTTTTCCTTTCTTTCTAACTGTCAATGTGTGTATCAGTTATATGAACTTGATGAAGTGCTTGCTATTATACCTATGAACTTTGTATTGAAAAAATCTTGGGTTGATGAGGTGTTTTGTACATTTCGACAGAAATGTGTACTGCTTTGGTTTTCAATCAGGCAAACTGGAGCATCTGATGAAGGTAAGCTCTTAACTCTGAGGTTAAGCTTGTATGTACCAGGTGTTATTCATTGCTTTTATTAATGCTTTTATCGGCGTACTGTGTTAAAATATGGCTTTGCATTGGTTCTAAGACTTAAATTCTCATTTTAGTTGGGGACAGATTAAAGTGATTGAACATTATATTATACTCTCTGTGTCCTGGCAGGTACATGAAAAGGAAGTTATTGGTATTACACATCATCCTCATATAAACCTTGTTGCCACATATGGAGAAGACTGCACCATGAAACTGTGGAAGCCTTAGCCAGTCTTTGCCTTATTGAAGTTTGCAGAAAAGCAATATTTTCGACAGTAAAGGTTAATTGTTTGTTGGATATGTTGCCTTGCCTCGGAGGTGGATGCAGCAATTCTATTTGGGGTGGATTTTGGGAGGTGGGTGGGGGCGCGAGGATCATATCGGTTGGTTAGTGGGATCTGATTTATCCAGCTTTTGTAATCTATGTAATTTATCTCCTACTTGCTGAATTTTAGTCTATCAAATCTTAGATTCTCAGATTACTCAGGCTATTAAAAGTTTGAATTCATTGACTTTTGAAGAAATTTAAATATCTGTATCAAATCCTAGACTTGTGAAGTAAAACAGTGACTTACGATCTGCCCCTTTTAGTTTTTTATTATTTTTATAAACAGATGTTATCAGGTTCAAATATGTTGTGTTTTAAAGAACTGAATATCGAAGTTTTAGATGGGTGTCTTAACAAAGCAGCATGGATGGTGATGAGTTATATAGCCGGCCCAGATTAGTTTGGGACTGAGGCGTAATTGTTCTTGTATTTTAATTTGCATATAGTGCAATGACAGAACTAACTGACCTAACACAGGATACTCTCTTAGATTAGAAGTCTGCATAAGAAGCATTAGTTGTTTCTGATTTCTGCGAGGTATAACAGGATATTCTCTGATGGTAAGGGAACTGCATAATAAGCATCAGTGGTTTTTGAAAAATTATACACAGAGTAAATGCCTTCAATTTGGAGGGATGTAATGAAAACTAAATATCGAATTGAGAGTTCCTGGTGCATCAGGACAGTAACTACCCAATCTGGAGTTGCCTTTGAAGATATATAAGTGACAATTGCGATGAATTTAGGTTATGGCAACATAAAGAGGAACAAACTTTAATTGGAAAGAAAAGACAACCAACTATATTAAGTCAAGAGTGTTATATGCACATTTCAATAGGGTCCCGAAAAAAAAAAAACCACGACCTTTATAGAAAAATGTCACGTCCTTAGTCTTAAGCTAAGCGCGCGTGCAGCACTTGACAACTTGCTCACGCTCTTGCACAACTTGCTCACGCTCTTGCACAACTTGCTCACGACCTTGCTATGCGAAGTCAGCCTAAAACACTACACTCAAAACCACTAAGAAAATGTCAGATAAGAAAGACGAGAAATTTGCTAAAGGAAGCTTTTGTATTGTAGAGAACTTGAAAGATTTGCTTGATGAGCTATAAATGAATAGCCCCTATATATACTGGTTATTTAGGGGTTAGATGATAAATAACAATGATTGTACAAGTCCTTAATATTTACAAGATAAGGGCTTTCTCTATAATTCTATGTAAGGCTCCCATATGGCATAAATATGTGCTAAATGGTCCCTATGTGGCATGATGATATGAGGATATGGCGGGTCATGACGACTTCAGTGCAATTCTGTTGCATGAATTCTCGGATCTTGTCTTTGAATTCCCATAAGTCTTCATAATGCTCCCATATGGCCTCTTTCAGTGACTGTCCCTTCCAATGAAGGAGTAACATTGCGGTGGATTGAAACCTTGTTTCCGCCTTGCCTCGTAATTAATGATAGCCAATTGAAGCCTTGTTTCCGCCTTGCCTCGTAATTAATGATAGCCTTAATCTCTCGATCATGCAAGGCGGTGATATAATAAGCGCTCGACTTGACGCCCTTACTCGAATCATCCTTGTCATCATGGTACAATTTAAGCATGCTGGCATAGAAAAAAGAGTAGATCTTAAGATGTGATGGCATGTCAAGCTTGTGTGAGATCTTGCCCACCTTGGCAAGGATCCTAAACAACCGCTCATACTTGCGAATCAAATTTTGATTCATGCACCGCAGCACCTTGGACTATTTCGGGATAACTTTTCCATAACCATGTCCCTAATTCTATAGTTTGTGGGATGTTGCTTGCAGTCTATAAACTTCTTCATCCGCTTAGTTGCCTCGTCCAAGTAAGACTTTGTAGTGTCAAGCTGTTCCTCCCATCTTTTTGCCATATGATAAGCCCTCAAACTCTTCCCCTCGCTACAGGGAGTGAATGTGGAGTTTGTGTTACTGTCCTGTGGCTATCTCAGATGGTGTTCGCCCCGCGGACTAACTCTGTTGCAAGTTATAAGAGAATTAGGCTATGTCTAAGAGCCTTGCATAATCTATGCGTGCTCATATAATGCCTCAGGTGTCACTCCAATAAGGCATTGACTCGATCCATTTGTCCATCCGTACACGAGTAAAAACTAGTAGACAAGTGCAGCTCCATGCCACAGATGTCAAATAACTCTCTCCAAAAGTTTCGATAATGATATGTCTTGGTAAGCCCCAACACATACAAAATCTATCTATGACCACAATAATAGTCTGTAACAAGGGGTGTGCATTCGATTTTGACCCTTATCGATAATTATTTATCGATTAAGGATTTGTACATATGCTTATCGTTATCGTTTCAATAAGGTTTCGATTTTTTCGATTTCGATTTATCGATTTTTGGGGCTTATCGATTCCGTTATCGATTACACCAATAAGAAAATTTGCGGGATTCCACGGAAAGTATATCGCTATAAGCACGCCTAACTAATATGGACAAAAGGAAGCTAAAATAAGACGAAAGGAGAAAGGTAAAAGCGGGTTTGCAGTTCGCTGGAGAGAGGGAGAAAGGTAAAAGCGGCGCTGAAGAATGGGTAGAGGAAATAATAGGGTTAGGGACTTTTTTTTTTTACACATTTTACACTAGTTACACTTTTTATTCATCGTAGAATCATATATACACTTTTTATACTATTATACAACATATAAGGGAAGGTCACCGGAGCCTTTATGTGATCACAACTATGGCCGATAGATATCACTAGCCAAGTATTTGCTATAATTCCTTATAGATCTAGAATTGCATGACTTTTATATAAGAGGATGGAAGTAACACGGAAGATAATAAAATTATCAACGGTCAGAGGTAGTGGTGGAGATGTTTTAGGCAAAGAAAAATTATTTCTATAAATTTCCTATTCGCAAGGGATGGTTGTTGGTCTCGATTTGATTTTAGGGTAGAGATTTAAGTGTGTTTTGAGAGAGAGACGAAGATTTACTTATGGAAATTAATATGGTGAATCAGTGATAGTGAGATCAGTGGTGGAGATAAGCTGGAGCAGTGGTGTGAGGAAGGTGGTGGAGATAAGCTGGATTGGTGGTGATTATATCGATGATGGAAGTAAGGTTAGGGACTTAGGGTAAAGGAAAGGGTATTATAGAATAAGGTATATTTGTCTTTTTAGTATATCTTATCGGTTTATCGATAAACCGATAACCGAAGAGGACAAAATCGAAATCGATAACTCGATAAGGAAAATTTCGAAATCGAAATCGATAAATCGCTAAACCGATATCGATAAACCGATAACAAATAATCGATTCGATTTATCGATAAACCGATTCGAATGCACACCCCTATCCGTAACCATCAGACTTCCTTGGATAAGTGAGAGCATCCATAGTTATGCTTTCCCATAGATGCTCTACAACCGGCAGTGGCTCCAAACAATCCTCCAGGGCCTAGGCCGTTGTTATTTAACCTTCTCCTATTGGCACACAAGACAAGTTTGAATATAGCACTCTATGTCATCTCGTATGCGCGACTAATAGTAGACTGACTCAACCAAGACTATAGTGCAATGTTGTCCGGGATGACTGCTTCACATTATGTCATTACCCTCCTTCAGGATTCTCCGTCTATTGTCTCCAAACTTAGGCACGTAAACTCGCTGACCTGACATATCTTAATACATAGTTAAACAATAGTTGGAAATATTTTAATACTCACTGGCCATTTATTTCTGCCCAAAAGATGGTAAGCAAGGTGGACTATTATTTTCATTTTCCTCACATTAACACATAATATTATTCAATCCACATATAAGTGAGATCCCACTCAGTTCCTCCATATTGGGTTGGTTTTGGTGATGGGGCAAGGTTCTCTTGCTCCATCAAAACAAGAAAATAAAATGTTTGGAGATAATGAATCATGGGGAGACATGATTATATAGAAGTTCTCTCTTACGAATATAAATTTCATTCCTTGAATTTAAGAGTATGCCTTCCATTTTTATTTTGAGTAAATTTGGAGCGGAAGTAGGTTTCTCTCTTGCTAGTTATTTAATATGTATATTCGCTCAGAGTCGAGGGCCTTCCGTAAACAGCCTCTCTACTCCTTCGGGGTAGGGGTAAGGCCTGCGTACATACTACCCTCCCAAGACCTCACTTGTGGAATTCACTGGGTTGTTGTTGTTGCTGTTGTTGCTCGGAGTCGAATTACTGTTGGAGTTGAGTTGGTTTTAAGTTCTCACTCGATAGCAAAGATACAACAGATCATCGGAAACATGTAAAAACCATACAGAATTCAACTGCATAAAATGCTAGTGATCGTTATCGATAGATAACTTATTATGTGAGACAACATGAAGCATCTGGTGAACCCCTCTCCGCCAACAACCAACACACACACACACACGCACAAAAAAAAATAAAAAAAATAAAAGAGGGGAAAAAGGTTATCCTATGCTTCCTTAACATCATGTTGTGGTTTCTAGAAATGGATAGTCAGTATAACCAACAACAGGATCAGATGTATAGAATGTCTCCCTGTTATACTTGTTGAGAGGTGCATCGAGCTCAAATCGCCTAGGTAAATCTGGATTAGCTAAGAATACACGTCCATACGCAACAAGATCAGCTCGGTCTTCAACCACAGCTTCGTTTCCATCTCCTCTATCATAACCACCAGCTACCATAAAAGTACCTTTGAATGCCTTCCTCATTGGTACAAGGCTTTCAGTACATTCAGTTTTCTCTCCAACTGTTTTCATCCTCGGCTCAACCATGTGGCAGTAAGCAATGCCATACTTATTCAAGGATTCAGCCATGTAAAGTCCCAAAGCGCTCGGGTTTGAGTCTCCTGATTCCATGTAGCTTGCAAATGGTGAAAGCCTTATTCCCACTCTGTCAGCTCCTATCTCATTTACAACTGCTTCAACTACTTCGAGTGCAAATCTACAACGGTTCTCTAAAGACCCTCCATATTGGTCTGTTCGATCATTGACTTGGTCTTTCATAAACTGGTCAATTAGATAGCCATGAGCTCCATGGATCTCAACCCCATCAAATCCTACAATTATAAGTGAAGTTAGTTCAAGGGAGGGTGTTAATTTGACGGCAATACTGATGTGACAGCACAAGGACAGATTCAAAGCAAGGGTTATACATCACTTCTAATCAACTCACCATGTAATCAATTTAACAAAGCACCTATATCTAATTTTCTTTTCTTGATTCCAAGGAAACCACAGGGGACATAACTGAAAAGTGACTTATTCTGGTTATTCACTGAAGAGCATCACTGAAATGTCACTTAGATGGCACATGTCACACTGTTCACACACATTATGTTGCAATCAGTACAATTTTTTTTCTTGTTTTTCTGTTGTATTGTTTACAGCCTAAGTTTCAACCCACTGTTTAGATCCGGCAGTTGCACCAGCTGAAAGATGGGGAAGCACACTCAATATATACGCAACATAAGACGAATATACTTATTTGAAAGATAAGTTAACTTCTTCTTACATAGTACATACTAAAAGGTTATCCTATTTTACCAAGTTTGCCAAATGGTTGAGATAAACATTATATATGCAAAAAATTTTTATACAACACAAGAAGCACCATACAAGTCCAGAATGACTCAAACGGTGACATGTTCAGCTCCTCTTATGCATACTTCTAATTCTTGGGAACTCGGTATCCATTTTAGCACTTGCTGACTTTGTTTCTTTTGTCGTCTTTTCTTTCAAGATAGTATTCGTCTCACACATACAGCAAAATATGTAACAATAATTTTCTAGTCCAGGATATCAGATTGAAGCGGCTTTCCAAAGAGCAGTAAACTTGACCAGAAACTCTTACCAGCTTCAATGGCATTTTTAGCAGCAAGCCGAAAATCGTTAACAATATGAGGAATTTCATCTGTCTTCAGCCGTCGTGGTGGTGTATATTGTGCAACATCCCCGCTATTCGCACGAATTTGAGGTGTTAATGGCTTGTCTGTGCAGGAAATAGGAGCCTGTCCATTGGGCTGAAAATCTGAACAAAAGGAGTCAAGTTAAGAAGCACAAAAGTTTACATTTAGTGAGACAGTTATCTCAAAGCTTCAGATGATTTGATAAAATGATTAAATTATGGTAGCAAAGTCAATTACCTTTGTGGGAAACTCTCCCAACATGCCAAATTTGGCAAAAAAATACTCCTCCTTTGGCATGGACTGCATTTACAATTGGTTTCCAGGCCTCAACTTGCTCCTTTGTCCATATACCAGGTGTATCTTTGTACCTTCAATAAAAAGACATTTCAGCAGTATTTAGAAAGTGTATTTGTTAGTGAACTGCAACTATAAACTTGGAAAATTGTGGGAACTAAGGTTACCCTTGGGCAGTGTCAGAAATTACTGTGGCCTCTGCTATTAGAAGACCACCTTTTGTTGTTCTTTGTGAGTAATAAAGGATAGCATGTGGCTGAGGAACATTGCCATAAGATCTCTGCCTTGTCAATGGTGCCAACACCACTCTAGAAAACATGTAGAGTGCAATAATAGTATGTCTAAACTCAATGCTAAAAATTGCAAATAAGGATGAGATAGTTAACTCAATCATCCATATATTAACACAAGTAACTGCCACCGCTGTATTCTGCACTCGCTCATTAAGAATTTGAATCAAGTGGGAATATCAGCTAAGAGCTAACCACCAAATATAAAACTCATCACCAGAACAAAAAGGCTAACGGAAGAGAAGTTCATCTCCATTAGTTGCAATTGGACTTACAAGTTTTAACCAAATTAAAGAGTGGCTTAATAAAAGTTGCCACATTTTTCTTTTCTTTTTGTTTTACGGGTGGGTGAGGGTGGGGGTGGGTTAGCTGGTATTTGTTTTTAATAACCATAGTGTCTGGGCCAGCTTGCGCGCACCCCAATTGCTACCTCCACCAGCAACAGGTACCAAATAACTTTATCCACCAAGGCTTGGACGGATGGACGAAATCATCTAGTGTTATTTATCTCCGCTAGGAATCGAACCTAAGACCTCATGGTTCTAAACATACTTCATTGAACACTAGGCCACACCCTTGGGTACGGGTCAGCCAATATTCTGGACGAGAATTAGTGAAGTTGCTTCTAAATCTCATATATGTATCTTTAAATTTGCAAATTTCAGAAACCTTTAACAGCAAAAAGATGAACAACATAACCATATGGATATCTCGCAGTATGAATAATCAAATAATCAAACATCAAAACTCAAATGATGAACAAAATATGAAAAAAAAAAAAAAAAAAAAAGAGAGGAGAATATGGGAATGTATCTGGAAGAAGAATACCTATGAGATAACTGAAAAATTCCCATAGTATAAGGGGTCAGTAGAGGAATGTCTTGTTGTTTGCCTTTAGGAACTTCAACAGCATTGTTTTCCATTTTGGGCCTTTTCTTGTTTTAGTCACACACACAACAGATAGAAAAGACTTGTATGTCTCTCTAATCAGGCTATAGATGTTTATAGCAAAGCAGAAAAGTGAAATGTGTAGGAGTGGAGCCAGAGATATGGGTTAAATGTGTAGGAGTGGAGCCAGAGATATGGGTTAAATGTGTAGGATTGGAGCCAGTGATATGAGTTAAATGTGTAGGACTGAAGCCAGAGATATGGGATAAATGTGCAGGAGCGGAGTCAGAGATACGGCTGAAAATGGTCCACATAGCAGCTGGGTTTTTCATATCTGAATCAACCTATCCCATCTGAAATCATGTGTTGTCTTGACATAGAATCTTTGAAAACATAGTAATTCATGTGAAATGTGTATCAGTGAATGGAGTGGAGCTAGAAAATGGTCCACATAGGTTTTTGTTTCTCTCAATCATTCCAACTCAGCCGCCTCCAAAAAGGAAGCATCTTCTCAGAGTTATCGCACAGAATAAAGAGGCGAACCCAGAATTTAAAGGTGTCGGGGTCACATGAACGGATTGCTCAATCTGTGCCCCACTTGACTCTTGATTTAAGGGTTCCAAGTAAAATATATATACTCATATGCATTCGGAATTATCGCCGAAGTCCGCCTCAGGAGGAATATGCATGTCATTCGTTTTTGTGCTTATATTCATTGCTGTTCTGTTTTAATCCCCTTTCTTTTTATTTTTCTTTTTTAACTTTAACTTTCTACTTTCTCCACAGAAAAAGAAAAACGAAAAAGCTCACGACTCGTGAGTATCTCTCTGTTTTAACTTTTTTTTTTTTAAATGAAACTTGTGTCGGAACCAATAATGTTATCTCCCAACGCAAGCAATGATGTTCATTGTTCAGTACAATTCATTTTTACCAAATTTCAATTTGACTTCTTATTTTTCGATTTTTTAAAATAGAAAAATTTGATGTGATTACAAATAAATTTGATATAGTCCCATTCGTTTCTTTCAATTCAATTATTTTGTCGTTCGGCATCTGTTCAATAATTTGCTTGTTTGGGCTTAAGGGTGGCAAACGGGCCGGTCCTGTGTGGGCCCGGGCTTCGTGGGCCGGGCTTAAATAATCCCGGGCTTTGTGGGCTTTTGGAGGTAACCGGACTAGGAACGGGACCACGAACTAATGGTTCCGGGCTAAGTGGGCCGGTCCCGAGCCTATGTGGGCCTGACCTATTTCTTTTTTTAATTTTATATCTAAGCAATTTCTTGTAAATTATATAGCTTTTATATATATA